GAGCTGCATGTACTGTATGCTCTGAGCTGCTACTGTGGTGCCCACGGCTGTCAGAACAAATCAATGTTGCCTCGTGGAGCTCGGCCTCACACAGTTTCCCTATAGCCAATATAAAAACACTACTGATCCACACATTTCAATGGTTGTGTGGATATCATGAAACCTATTATTAACATGCCAGGATCAGGTTGTATTCCAAAATCATAAGTAAGAAATTGTTGCTTAAACTAGTCCCCTTGTGGTGTAAATCAAGCTTTTAATTTTGTTTATATGTCTAGTCTATGTGTTTTTATATATATATATGCTTTGAGACAAACCATGTGTAAATTCATAAGTCGACACCATTGCTGAGAATTTTCTCCTTAAAACTGCAATGAACCAAAGACAATCTCAAAAACGTGGTTTGAAATCGCTGGTGTTTCTGATGTCACAAACTACCCTGTAACAAATAACGTTAAAGTGTGATCGTCAACGAGTGGATCTCTGAGCTGGTGTGAGTGAGTGGAGGCGGGGCTAATTTGCATATTCATAGAACTGCATTTACTGTGAGGCAAGGGTAGAGTTACATTCAAGCTATTTTAAGGCATGAAGAAATTTTTTCAAGGAAAAAACGTATATCTCATTTTGGCGATCAAAGATGAGTTTTAAGGGATACAATTATTGACTACAGGGGGATCTTTTGCATTGTAATTTTTTCATGACAATTAAGCCCATTTCTCAGTTCAGTTCTCATTAATGCAACAATTAATGAACATTAATCATTACCATAAATGTATAATACTTAAATATTTAAATTTAATTTACTATGGCTGCCTTTTCTGTGCTGACTTGTAATTCATACTGATTTAAATATAGTAAAAAACACTGTAAATACAGTAATTTAACTGTAATACTGTAAATAACTAAAACCTAAATCGGCATTGGAAAATAATAGGAAATGCTGAAAAACAACAACATTTGGATGTCTTACTTTAATAAGAATTTGGGGGTAATGTTAATTGTCATAAAATTGGAGCCAAGAAACTAAATCACAATACAAAAAACAATGGTCCTTAAAAAAGCATAATTTTAATTATGCTACAAATAATTTAGTTTTTTGCCTTTTGATTTTGGAAATCTGACCCAGACATTTATTTTTGTGAGATTCGCCCAGTTATAATTACGATTTTTTTTAATTTAAATAAATTCTGATAATACATGCATGGGTTGATTTATGAACAATCTAGAGGGGAAAAAACCCAAGCAGCAGCATTAAATTTCCCTTGATGTGTCTCCAGGTACAGCAAATTTATGGAGACAAATTATGGGCCTTCGGGTAGGTCGAATCCGAATAATGTGAGTTTAAAGACTAGTCCTATAAAACACAAGTATAATTACATGATGGCTTAGGTCTTTCTTCTTGCTAACCTTGCAACAACAGCAAAAAAAACCATCTTGTAACTATGGTCGAGGTTCATGCCTGCCAGGAATCCTGACAGACAAGGAGAACGGCCCCCAATTCTGTCTCCCAAGATTACGCAATGCCCCTAAACAGTAGGCAAAAAGTGGCATTATGTAACAGATTCTGCACATTCAAACAGCTAGTGGGGTAGCCATCTGGAAGACACAGGGTTTTATAATGGACACAGCCAGTAAAAGTGCATGACAGACTGTAAGAGTTGGGGACAGTGAAAGAAAAAATAGATAAAAAAGGAATAATGAGGGTACTTTCCATTAAACCAACAGGAGGACAATGAGTTCTGTCTGTATGACATGATGGAGATGCCCTCTCACATTTTGATGCCACTGGCATCTAAGAAAGAAAGCATTCTTAACTTCTATTCAAGAATGAGTGCAGGCTTTCAAAGGAGAAAAGAGAAAAAGATGAAAGATGTTGCAGGAATTACCTACAAAGCTGAATTTGTTTTTATTATAGGCATAATTGCTTCTAAAGGTGTGTTGTGTAATATGTGTGTACAGATCTGGAAAGGAAATGCATTGGATATAATGCAGATAATAATTGTTTTGCAGAATATACAGATTCAAACAGACTTAAATTCAAATGTTCCACCCATTTTGATTGAAGCAAAGTATGAAAAATGGGAAAGCACTGATTCCATGCGCCACATTTGCATGCGAAAAACAAAGCTTTTACGCTTGCTCTTGTGCAAGAAAACCCACAGCATCTGCTAACAGCTGTCCAATAAATGAATAAAAGGTTCAACTGAAAAGTTTCCACTCAATACAGTGGCTTACCATTTAGGTTTGAAACAGGATATAGTCAGGAAGGAATTTACAGGAACACATGCACTGACTCCCACAAACTCAATTTGGAAATACCATCTGGAGCAGCTGCGTTTGCAAAAAAACAGCATTTGGTAATACTGATCTTTTTAAAATATTTATTAATTATTACTCTCACATTTTATATTGAATATAAACTATGATAAATTGATAAAACAATTGATTATTATTAAATAATAATAAATATTTGTATTTCGTAAACTGTTTTCCGCTCGTTCTATGTCTAGACTGTGGATTTGGATGCAACCTTCACCTTCACCCTCAAATATTCCACTCGGTGACATTTTCATATTCAGAGGAAAGGACTGACTCGGAGGACCAGAAGTGGAGAACCGCACCCTTGCTCTTCCACAGCTGTATGGAATGTGTCTTGGCTTCAACGTGAGTCTAATAAAAGCACAGTCACCCGCATCTCAAACAGCTCCCTCGTGACGTAAACCGAGGTCTTGGGTGAAACCCTGCTTTGTCCTTTCTTCTGCACTATGGCATCATGAACCACTAGCACTGTCTGTGACGTCAGCAACGTGTGCAACTCAGCTCCAATTCCTCCCTTATGGTAAAAAAAAAAAAAAATTAAAAGCATTGGGGTATTGCATCAAACCCAGCCATAATGACTTAAGAACCTGTGTCTCAAAGGGTTCACCCAAAAATGAAAATTCTGCCATCATTTCCTCGCCCTCATGTCGTTCCAAACCCGTAAGACTTTCGTTCATCTTCAGAACACAAATGAAGATCTTTTTGATGAAATCTGAGAGCTTTCTGTCCCTCCATTGACAACTGCGCAACTACCACTTTTGACGCTTCAAAAAGTTCATGAAGAGATCGTAAAACTAATCCATTTCATCAAAAAGATCTTTATTTGTGTTCCGAAGATAAACGAAAGTCTTACGGGTTTGGAACGACATTTTTGGGTGAACTGACCCTTTGAACAAAATAGTTCATTTTTGTATTTGACGGTGACCTATGTCATGTTTATCATTTTGCATATTGCTGGGTATATATAGGTTGATGGGAATATCAATGCATTTTGTATCCTAAAGCTAAAACCAGCTTTTAACAAAAAAAGATATCTCTGCCCACCCACTAAACACACAGCCATGGAAAGAGCTGCACATACTTTTATATAACAGCACCTCGCTCACACCATCGATTCAAAACAACACGACAGCTTTATTGGTCGTGTGTTATGGCTTTTCGGTTGACACACAGATTAATATAACATAAATAAGCGCTGAATAATCATCTCAGTTTCCAGCACACAGGCTATGATGCACTGATGAATAACCTTATAAATATGAGAGCAGGGATGATAAGGTCAAGTGGGAGAGAGGCTATTCAAGCGTTTAATGGATTGAGATGTATGCAGACATCAATGCTGACTAGAAAATGGGTATAAATGAAGAGAAGAGGCAAGTCATTCACACATCTTTCAGCTCCCCAAACTTCCACACCAAGAGTCACATGCTGTATTATTAAAGAAAACTTATAAGTCTAAGCAATGTACAGCAACTTTCAAGCTTTCATTAGTGTTTATAAAAATAGCCCATCATCTGGTCAAGAGAGTGTAACATAAAGTTTATGTCAAAAAAAGAGAGAGAAAAAGATCATTGTAACAACTGCAGACAGGACTTAGACACAACTGTTTATTATTAGTGTTACAGAAGTGGGCAATAAATTGTATGAATATAAACTGGCTGCTATTGCACTCAGCAGTCTGAAAGTAAAAAGCTGACATTCAAAGTTTACTTTTACATATTTAATTTTACGTATGGTACTTTCCACAAATACAGTACAAAATGGGGCCAGAAAAGCTTAGAAATTATGCGTTCATTTCTCAACAAATGGTCCGGGTAAGGATGAGAATAGCCTTCAGAGAATTATGATCGTCAACCACAAAAAAACTAATTTGAATATGCAACATTGCATGTCTAAATACGGTTTAAATCCATGATTGGTGAGATTTTGCAATTTTCTACATTAAATAAAACATTAAATAAATATAAAAATTCAATGTATAAAACTAATTCATGAATAAATATAATGTAAAAAATAAATACAGACATTTTAAATTCTTAAAAATATAAAATAACATAAAACTTCTCCTTACAATATGTTAAATGATTGGACACATTTGATCAGTAAAATTAGTTAAAAAGTTTTATAACAATTAACTGAATTTCAGTTTAATAAATGACATGATTTTAAGTGTTAGATCAAGACGTCTGAAGTGGAACAGGCCAAGTGTCAGTGGGGAGGATACAGACATTTGATTTGTTTACAAGTTACTTTTCATACAAAGTTAATTTTGTGTGACACAGTTATTAATAAAATAATGTTTCATTGTTTTCCTCACATCTTAAAAGGATAGAATTTGTCCCTGTAATGCTTTGCAAAAGTCATGGGAAACCAAAGTGTGCCGTATTAATGGAAGGTGCCGCATCTCCTCGTCAGCAAGTTCAAGATTGTGTTAATTTGTGTGAAAGCGGTTAGTAAGCCACTAGAAAGTATAACTAGATTCCTAATTGTGAGTGATTTATGCGATCTATCACAAACCCTCAGCAGTTTAAATCGGTTTTATCAACACCTGTGTAAACAAATAATCGCTTTCCTTGATTATTTAGCGTGGATGTCATTCATCATACCAAAACATAACGGTGAATGAGTTTTAAAAAGAGGTACAGAATAAACCAGAAACGTAAACATAAACTCAAACTTACCAAAATACACAGTCTTTTCGCATTTAGGGCACTTTGAAGCCATGGTGAATTCAAACAGGATTCTCTCACAAGGTTTGTCTTGCACGCGCTCAATCCGACCAATGGCTGAGAGCTGGAGCGCATCTCTTATTATCCTACTGAAAGCACCGCGCTGTATTTGCATAGCCCCGCCCTCTCTCGCAGGTCTGACATTCTGACAGCTTCTCTCATTGGTCAGGAAACCTGTCAGTCACCGTGTTGGCGGGGCCGTCTGGCTCAGCAGCGCTGCTGGCAGGGGCTTCAGTCTGCTTACTTACTGCCACTGGCTCTTCCTTTTTACATCCTTCAACGGGAATGTGAAAGGCATCCAACAATAGCTCCTTTCACTTCTCATGAATAGGGATTCTTCAGCACTTGCCAGACCGTTACTAGTGGAAATCAGTGGGAGAATGATATTGGCAGGACCTAGTCGTGCTTACAACACTTCTCTTTTTGTTTGGGTTGAGGTCACTATATGGCGGTATTACATTTTTGACTAGTTTACATCACTGTTCCACACACCCAAAAATGTGTGTCACCACGTCTTTTTTTAGACTCAGATCTTTGCCAGCTCTTACAGGCTTTTGCCTCAACCACGTGTCCACGTAATTTCTCCCTTGTAGGCCTACTGATCAGTCAGTATCAGCACTGAGCAGAGCAAATGTGCACCTTTCCAGACTACACACACCCGTTCACAGTAACACACAGCCGAGTCCTGTTGACTTCCATAAATCTCTAAATTGCTTAGTCTATAGTCAAACAGACAGACCCCTGACTAGTACTGTTGTGAAAGTGCCTCTTGACATCTAACTGAATATTGACTCTCTCTCTCTCTCTCTCTCTCTCTCTCTCTCTCTCTCTCTCTCTCTCTCTCTCTCTCTCTCTCTCTCTCTCTCTCTCTCTCTCTCTCTCTCTCTCTCTCTCTCTCTCTCTCTCTCTCTCTCTCTCTCTCTCTCTCTCTCTCTCTCTCTCTCTCTCTCTCTCTCTCTCTCTCTCTCTCTCTCTCTCTCTCTCTCTCTCTCTGCCAACAGCTGATTTCAGTGAGAGGAAATGAATGTGAGTCTTGCAGCGTCAAGCGTATTCACGTTCATTTGTGTGTGTGTTACAGCGTCAGTAAGTTTGCTGTATTGGCACATTTGCACAGCTGCAATGCAGGGACCTGCTGTGTTGACTAGGTGGGACAAAACCTTAATACTAGCTATAAAACAATGGTTTTAAATTACTGAAAAGTGGAAAATTATAACATTTTCCACATTAAAATCAGTGAGATGAGACTGGGACTAGTTGTCACATGGCCTTTGTTGAGTAGAGTCCAATTACACAAGTGTGCTTTGGGGCTTTCAAATGTCTAAATCAAATTAAATCAAATGATGATATGTATATATATATATATATATATTAGTCCTATATATAAAGAATCCTGAAAAAAATGTCATGTTTCCACAAAAACATTAAGCAGCTCTTTGCAACTGAAAATAATTGTAAAAAAAACTACAAAAAAAACAATGTTTCTTGAGCAGCAAAGAATGATTTCTGAAGGATCATGTGACACTTAAGACTGGAGTAATGATGCTGAAAATTCAGCTTTGTCATCACAGGAATAAATTATGTTTTAAAATATTCAAATAGAAAACCGTAATATTATAACCGATATTTCACAATATCGCTGTTTTACTGTAATTTTGATTAAAGCCTTGGTGAGGAAGAGAGACTTCTTTCTGGGAGAGACTTATTTCAAAACCATTTAAAAAATCTTACCGATCCCAAACTTTTGTACATCATTTTTCAAATTCCTTTTACCTCAAGCCCATGCTAATACTAAAGTGCTAAACAGATGCCCAAGGCCCTCCGCCTCCATAAATACCCAGTCTTCCTTTCACACCAGTTTCCCATGGGACAGGTCTGGAGCCACATGTCGCCCCAAAGCACGTGTGTAACCCTCAGTGCATACTCCACCCTAACAACCACACCGCCCATCAAACACACCCAAACCCAGACCGACTCATCAAACACGTGCTATGACTCATGTGGGAATATCTGCATTATTAAATGCTTTTAAACAAATTATGTTGTCGCAAATAAATGTTGTCATAATCGAGGTGTGGTGAGATGAGTATGTTTTTCGAAATAATAATAAAAAAATAGATTTATGTGCAAAAAAATGAATGCTGTTTCACAACAGTCACCATTATGATGACTAGTGCAATGCCCATGCATGAATAGTTGCTGAATACCTATAGGCTACTATTACACAGGAGCCTAAACTCTGAGAAAACGATAACGTTAAGCGCACCAGAATAAAATATAATATTCAGAAGTAACCAGTGTAGCTGACTTACAGATTCAGTTAACATCCACAAATGAATAAGTGCGACGATTCAGGGAGCAGGCTACACAGTGACCTCCACGAAAACGCTACGCTTGTTGAGCAAACAGTTTGTGAATAGGCTACTTCAAATGATGGCCGTGAATAAAATACTATATTCAGATCTTTTTTTTAAACCAGAACCCTCTAATGTCAGAATGTTTATTTTGGGGAGTGACCACTCAGTGTGCAGTGTGAGAGGGGGAGTGGCCAGCGGATAGAGCGGCAAAAGCCAAATGTATGATTCTTTTACTGATATATTTACCGATGTCTTTTGCATTTCTAATCTAAACAACGTCAAACTCGGCACTGTACTTACTCGTGCCTGTAGCAAGACACCTGTCAAGTTTGAAATCCATCAGACTAACAGTTCGAGAGATATGCGAATAACAGACAGACAGACAGACGTTCCTGTAATTTATAGATAGATACAGTTGTTCGTACTTGCCAGAGAATTAAAAATAAAAAAATATTTGATTGTTAATTGAAATAAAGCTCAAATAAAATAAACAGTGCTGTCAAATCAATTAATTGTGATTAATTGCATCTAACATAAAAGTTTGTAAATATATAATAGGCCTATGTGTGTGTCTATATATAATGTGTAGCTATATATATATACACACACACACAAAATTTAATTTCAGGAAAAGTTTGAAATGTTCAAACTGTTTAAAAAGATTTTTTTTAATGATAAAAATGGCTAAGCACATTGCAAAATTTCAAACAATTAACAAATGAAAATGAAAAATGAAAATATAAAAAAGATAATTCAAAATATTGATTAAAAAAAACTATAATAGTATATAAATAACAATGGTTCTGAATGGCGTTAGGGTGTTGCTTTGCAGTTGCTAGGGTATTCTGCTTGGTTTCTTGGCTGTTTCAGGGTGATTAAAGTCACAAGAGCCCACCAAGAAATGCTTTTTTTCAGCAGGGTATTTGGCTTTAGTACTAATTTGGTAATTCCATGGGATAAACCACACAAATAACACTAATAGAAGAATTATATTTCAAACAGCATAAATTAAATATACTCTGAGGGTAATTTCAAGAATTTATCCAGTCGTGTAGCTATTATATGCAAATTTGAATGAGGATCTGAATGTACTGAAGCAGAACTTGTCTATTATTGTATTAAAGTGTTGTATTAAAGTGGCTCTGGATATTATTAATTGCAATAGAAGGAGAGAGTTTGATATCAGACCTCTTAAAGTGCCCCTGCAGTCAAAAATGTTATACCTTTAAACATCTTTGATAATCAAAATTACATATATATAAAAAAAACATTCCCGTGGAAATAATTTATTCATCCCTTAAAATATCTTGAATGTAACTATACACCCTTGCTTCATTTAGTATATGTATACGCATTGTTCAACTGATAGAGTTAACAGTGCCATGGGAGGATGCGGTAGATGAGGCATATGAGAGGAAGAAACTGCGGTATGCTCATCTGGCCACTGAAGCAGAACAGCGAGGATGGAGAGTCCAGGTTTATCCAGTGGAAGTGGGTTGTCGAGGTTTTGTGGCACACTCTACAACCCGGTTCCTCAGAGACGTCGGATTCAGTGGCCAAGAGTTGCGTCGCACAGTAAAGAACTTATCTGAAGCAGCAGAAAGGAGCAGCAACTGGCTGTGGTTGAGATGGAAAGATTCTAGCTGGCTGTGTACAGGCCGCCACGCTACGGTTTCGTAGAGTTCTTGAAAACTTGAAGAGTCTGTTGGTTTGTTTGTATACGTTCCTGTGGATATTGCGTGAATGACGGGTGGTTGGGTAGATATTGTGTTTTGCGGTAGGTGGTATGCCATACGGAACCGTTGTCCACTGAAACTGCATATTAACGCACCAGTGGGGCTCGACAGCCTTAGTCAACGGGTTGGCGCGTATGGTTGGGTCGCGGAGAGATTGTGATATTGTGGTTAGGTCTCAGCAGCAGGAGGGATGTAGAGGTCAGTAAGCTGGGCTGAGTTGAGTGGGGGACGGAGGGGGGTGACTCTGGGACGCCAGAGTCACTGTCGAGCCCTCTTGAGGTGTCGTGGGCTAGTCGACGAAACACTGAGGACGGAAGGTGCCCACTTGAAGACCCTAGAGATGTCCCCTACTCGGTTCAATCCAGACGGTTGTCGTGCTGGTCCTGTAGTTGCAGCCGTCGCGTGCGCTAACGCGCCAAGTACACTGCTGCCGTTAACGCTGGACAGAAGGGGAGTCACACTACCTTATGGAAAGAAGCGTAAATGGATGGAGAAGCATAGTTTACTGTAAAGCTACGTCTTAGTTTTGCTTATCTTGGCGAAAGCCGAGTACAAATCAGCATGAAGTTTTAACATCTACTCTCGTGTAATGGAAATCATCTGGAACCATAAATATGCAAATTAGCTCCCCCTCCACTCACTCACACAAGCTCAGAATACCTGATCTTCTCGATCAACTTTACTGTAGTAAATGCTGTGGCAAGTGGAAATATTGGTTTAATTCAGCCATATATGTTTGAACCAGAAACTGAAGAAGAAGAAGAGGAAGAGTTAATTATACAGGCTCGTATACAAGTCGATGTATCAGAACAGTAATGCGTTTTATGTATCGCTCTCTACAACGTCGGACACATAACACTTTGGCTTGACTACGTTATCAAACAGCTAATAATGTGTTGATAATGTTACACAAACCATGTTTCCGTTCACCATCTCAGTCTGCCTTCTAAAAATCAGCATCCTTAGAAACGCTTTGTACATCATAGAAGTCAGAGGAAAAAA